GAGTTTGCAGAATTTGAGAGACCAGTTTTCTACTCCCACGTGCCACACAAGGGCCTATTCTCAGGACCAGAGACCAGGCCTCGCCACACTTCCTACAACGCAGATAAGGGGAGCACCGCCAACAAGCCAGTCTTCATTCTGACCCTACGCCATGTCAGAGTTTTCCTAAAAGCATGTCCATCCATGACCAAGTTATTTGCATCCTATCTAATAATAGACAAACAGGATAATTAACCGTACCTTCGCTACGCCTCCCATTGGTTAATTTGCATATGTAGGCTCCAGGCGGCCGAGCGAAGACTGAAGGTGAGCCAGAGGTACCTTCGCAACACCTCCCATTGGCTAATCAGCATAGTACGCAAATTAACAGCCAAGAAAGATGGTGGTTAATTTGCATACATAGGCTCCAAGCGGCAGAGCAAAAACTGAAGGTGAGCCAGGACCGCAAAGACAGAGGACGGAGGGCGACTCCGGCTGGAGCGAAGGCCTGGGTCCCGGGTGCCAGAGGAAAACCGGTGCCGGCAGCCAGGAGAAGAGAAGGCCTATTGCATGAATCTCTTAGTGCAACAGGCCTCTAGTTCCTTTCAATAATGCCAAATGAGTGATTATGTAGCAAAGATAGCAAAACATTAAAGTTGTTTATTGTTGTGGTGCCCATTCCACATTCTAGTTCTGCAGCAACGTGGCCACCAATGCACAAGGTCTCGGCTTCCACATTGTCTCCCCTGGGAAGCCGGCTTTCATGGGAATCTGGATTGGGGGCTATCCAGAGATAGTGAACGAATGGGAGGCAATGCCATCTGAGGAACTGAGGGCTGGCCCTTGGGGAAGAGCCTGTATACAACCCCAAGAGCAACTTTTCTCAGCTCCCCAGTGCCACCCACATCTTTAACCGGGAATATGTTCTACTTTCCTGCCACCTGAAAAAGCAAATCCATGCTTCTCAGCTTTGCACTCAGTGCACGCCCTTCCCTAATTTCATCCTCCCTTCCGACGCTCACCACTCTTCTGTCCTCTCTTCAGTCACACCATCACATTGTTCTTCTTTCCATCTTGCCCCTGCTCCTGACTCACGTTTTCTGACTCAGAATCTCAAGCTCTGCCCACCAGACCAAGCTGCCCTTGGAGAAACAAAACAAAACAAAACTTTTCTCTTTTTCAAGAACCACAGGTGAGTGTGGTCTTATTCTAGATCCACAACAACAAAGCCACACTTTTCCTAAGTTCTCTTTTTATACAAGCTCTCTTGCTAGTGCATTGCCATATTTGCCATACTTTAGGTGTCCCAAGCTTCCCAGTGTCCTAAGCAAAATAAAATAATAGCAATACAACTTTTTAATTGCACATAAAACACCCCTCAAAACCCCTGCCCATCTGCCCATTCGATACACAAGGACTAAGAGAGGAGGCAAACAAAATTAACCCTAATCAGCAGTCCACTGTGGAGTAAGATCGGTAAGAATAAAGATTGCCCCAGTAGCGAGAATTGAGATTACCTGCTTAAAAAAAGAAATTTTTTTTGAAAATTAAGGGGATCTCCATATTCTATCGTTTAATAACAGGAAGCACAAGCTTCTCTAAAATTTCCCATCAAAACAGAGTTTCATAGCAACAGCCACTGAAAGGTAAAGGCCTCTGTGATTTCGATTTTACTAGCTATTATGCATTCTTTGTGACTCAGTCTAGATGGGTAAGAAACGTCAAACTTGAGATTAAAAATTTTTATGATCAGTGGAAAACAGATAGGAAATATATTTCAGTAACTAAAAAGCAACAAATTTATTAAAAAACATTTGTGTGAGTATAAACTTAAAGTTTCTCTGCTTTGAGCCTTTAATAGTTCAGACCAAAATCCTTCAAATTTCAACTAGTAACGAGATTAACCCAGCCCAGCCGGCATGTTTCCGTGGTCGAGCGTCAACTTATGAACTAGTTCATGGTGCGATTCCTGGTCAGGGCACATGCCCAGGTTGCAGGTTCGATCCCTTCATCTCTAAAATCAATTTTTAAAACATTTTTAAAGAGATCAACCTGAAACCTTGCAGCAAGTTATAATGAGTGAGCATTTTTAATTTCAAAATCACATGGTTGCTTTAACCTAGATGTTAATAGTAGTAACAGAGCACCAGACTACCCTGTAAGTCAAGGGTGCCTGATGGACACTGTGGTTAGGGGCCATCGCCATTAAAATCACTTCCTGTTAACAGAACTTTGTTTCCATACATACATCTCTTGTTAAAACAACAGTTTTTCATACCTAAAATGTCAGCTTTTGCAATTAAGGACAATTTTTCCTTAAAATGCTAGGTTCAGAAATTTTTACTACTTTTTTTTCCCGCTAAACCTACTGAATTCAAGTTTCAGAAATCAGTAAGTTATTTCTTCTCACTACTATCATATTCAACCATTATTTCTCCCTTGCTCATTCTTTAAGGCCACATTTTAGAGTTCTGTATGGACAATGTTTATCTTTCTCTATTCAGGGTGATAGTTCCTTTTTAAATAGATTTTTATTGATTTTTAGAGAGAGAGAGAGAGAAAGGGAGAGGGACAGAGAGATAGAAACATCCATGAGAATCATCAATTGGCTGCCTCCTGCACAGCCCACCCTGGGGATGGAGCCCATAACTTGGGCATGTCCCTGATCAGGAATTGAACCCGCAACCTCTTAGTTCCTGGGTCGATGCTCAACCACTGAGCCACACCAGCCAGGTGGGGGTGATAGTTTCTTATGAAACGTCATTACCATTTTCTCTATTAATGGCTAAGAGTTATGTAGTGGAGGTTGGGGGCTAAAAGCCTCAGGCCAACAGTGAGGAGGGATGCTGATGAAGACTAGGTTTGGGGCCTGAAAAAGAGTTGGGAAGCTGAATCTAAAATCTTCACATAAGCCCTGGCCAGTGTGGCTCAGTTGGCTGAGCATCATCCTGTGCTCCAACAGGTCACCAGTTCAATTCCCAGTCAGGGCACATACCTACATTGCAGGTGCATTCGGGAAGCAACCAATCAATGTTTCTCTCTCACACTGATGTTTTTTCTCTCTCTCTCCCTCTCCCTTCCTCTCTCTACAATCAAAACATATTTTTAAAAAACTTAAAAAATATAAAATCTTCACATAC